CAGACTCCTCGTCGCGGCACTGCTGCAGGCCCCGAGTCGCGGCACGTCCCACGGTGCACGCCATGCCCAGACAAAGCACCAGCAGCCCCGCAGGTCACGCCGTGGCACTCTTTCGTATTGCGACACTAGCAGACCTTCACACACTCGGAGCTACCCTTACGCCACAATCCTGCTACCTGCCACGCCGCGCCAGTTCCTTAGTGTCGCAGCCCTCGTCTCTCCCGCGCCGTGCTATAAGTTTTCCGTGTCGTGACTCTCGCACCTATATATATATATGTACATGTTCCGATGAAGAAAAAAACTCTCGACCGGATAAAAACCCTAGGTCCGAGAAAATGCCAAAAAAAAATCCTTTTCTCCTTCTTTTCTTCTTCTTCGTTGTTTTTCTTCTTCTTTACATCTTTCTTTTCCATTTTTCTTCCTCTTTTTCTTCTTATTTAAGCTTGTATTTTGAATTCAAAACTTGGATTCAGATTGATTGTAAGTTTACCTCTTATTTAATTCATGAGAATGATTGCTTGGGGTGAAATGATTTATTCTGTTGAAATTACTTTACATAGCTAACTCTTATTGCTAGGGATAGGGGATGATTGTTCTTTTTTAATCCGTATTTGTCGGGCTTTAATTTGTTCATTCTTATGTGTGTTGATTTGATTAGGAATTGATGAATTCTTGCTTGATTGATTGATATAATTGAAGAGTGACTCTTCCATTTTGCTATTAGAAACCATAGATTATTGATTTGTTGAGTTAGGGTTTTGTTGATTCTAAATGATTAGTTGATTAATATTTTTCTAATTTAATTATCGATTTTTAAACCTGAAAGGGGAGAAGTCATAGACCTAGGCTCGCATGAAATAGATGATTTCGTAATTGAATAGTCTATGGGTTTTGGATTAAAATACGTGCTTGTCGATGTCCCTTCCCTTGTTACGAGAGATATTGGGATTGGATATTTGGTTGGTGTTGTATGCTCAAACTTGCTCGCCTATGTTCAATCCCTTGTTATGAAGAGTTATTAGGAACGAACCGCTAGATGTTTAAGCGAGAGTGTCAATCTCGAACCGAACTATTAATTGCCCGATTTTGCAAATAGAACTTGAATTAGTTATCCCTGAATCCCTAGCTTCTTTGTCAATACCATTTCGGTTATAGGTAGATTCATATTTTATGCATAACTTAGTCGATAGTTTAAACCCCAATCTGATTAGAGTGTTTATGATTTATTTTGCTTTTATGTGTTAACATTTCTAGATTCTAAACTGCCTTCCTAGAGAGATCGACCCAGGAACGAATCATTCGATTCGGTACTCGGTAAAATAAAAATTTATACACAACAAATTTGGCGTCGTTGTCGGGGAAGGCAAGTAGGATATTTAGTTTTGGTGTTAATCTTATTTTCTGTATTTCTCTTTATTTGGTGCTTTTCTTGTTTGTGTTCTTATTCTGCATCTTTGTTGTTCTTTTTGTCTTTTTTTTTTTGGTTCTTGTCTTTTCTTTTCTTTCTTTTCGTGGCTACGTGTAGTTGTTCGGTTTTGGTGTGCGGGTATTATGAACTTTAACTGTGTGTTCCCCTTACCGCACACTCTATCTTGGGTTAACGAGCTGAGTTATCACATCGGGTACCACATCCAATGTTATCCATACTCTTCCGAGCAGCGCTGGGACCCCTTTCCGATCGAGAAATCTTATGAGTCCCACTAGTTTAACGATAAGCTTGACTTTATCTACGCTTTTGCAAAATCCCGGTTAGCTAAGGAAGAAGAGACCGCAACCCGGTGTTCCTGTCTGAGTAATCAGCTACTACTATGGCTAGACTTTGTCATATCCCTACGAGCAGCAGTGAAATTCCGTGCTCGTCGAGCAGTCATATGAGTCCCTCGAGGACTCCTAATAGTACAATGCAAAGATTGATCATGCTCTCGCTCTTTTGGCATCCCAAGCGGCTAGTAGGAGCAACCTGGAGTCCAGAATCGAGAACCTAGTGGAGCGCATGCAAGCCCTAGAAGATCGAGTTGACAATTTCTCTCCCGAGCCCATCGCTCAAGGCGAATCTACTCATGAGATTGAACTCAGGAAGATACTTTGACATAAATGAAAAACTCGACCTCATTCTTGCTCGCATGTCTGCCCAAACAACTCGAGATGAGAAGATTGAGCTCGGATGTGCTCGACTGAGCATACAAATGGAGATGCTTAACAGCACATATCAACTCAATCGAGGAAAAAGTCGGCGATCCCTACTTTATGCTTGATGCTCGAGCATATAATCTAAAGCAAATGTTTGAGGCCAAACAAGAAGAAGATGATGCGCTCAGCGAAACGTTGATGATGTTACATAGGAGAAGATCCATGGGCTTGATCAAGAGATCACAATTTCTCAATTCCCTCCTTCCACCTCCGAGTCGGAACATCAGCCTTCGAGGTCGTTGTACTGTGGTATGAAGTGGGTTGGATTCAGTTCAACTTGCTTCACAGATGTGCTTATAGTTCTGGAGGTTGACGACAGAGCTCGGGTGGGAAAAGTGTTGGGTTCGCCTGTACCCTACGGGCTATACGCTGCGGAATTTAAAATTTTTCAAAACAAGTATTTAACACTTAAATACTTAACCCGTATATACATATGGCGAATTTACAAATCGTCATCTTTAAAAACATGTAATAATACAAATTTTGATTTGTTACAAGTAATATTAGAAATTACAAGTAATATCAAATATTTCCTTATAACTCTAACTCCTTCTTCTTGATGGTGGTTGAGGAAATTGGTTCCCAGATTAATAACGAACACTTCGGTTTGCTCGCTTTTAGGAATCCACTTGTCTTCCCTCTAAACGTATCCACCGTTTGCTTCCGACTATGAGATGACTCCTTCGCTAGTAGGAACTCACTCGATTTATAACTTAGTATAGAAATATATAAATAGGAGAATATTACAAGAACAATTCTTGTTTACAAAAATGAAATACTAACTCTTTATCTCTCAAATTATAAGTGAAAATGTTAACACAAATTCTTGCAAAAATGAACATCAACCATGCCCATATTTATACTAAACTATAACACCCCACTTTGATTTCGAAGAAATTTCGGACTTTCCAAAAATTAGTACAAATTTTTCGAGATCATTTTCGAAATTTAATGAGTGTTAACCAGCATTTTTCATAACCCAAGTCTTATCTGGGCCCACGGGAATTCATTACCCGGTTTTCACAAATGGTTTTCATTAACCAAAGCATGTCACGAGACTTAATACTCAACATGAATAGATAACCAAACCATAATACCCAACAACAGGGTTTCACAAGTTTTCCAAAAACAAACATGTCATAAGTTTTGGGAAAAGGTTTAAGCAAGTCTCAACATAAAGGTTCATAAAGTTTTATTTATTCAAACGGAAGCAATAAATGCATGACCGACCCACTCGCCTCTTCTCGTCACCCAGCTCCTGCTTAACCTGCATCGGTGAAGAGCAGGTGGGGATGAGCACAAGATAAAAAGCGTGCTCACCACTATGCACATATATCATCAATAATAATGTAAAGGAGGTATGGTTAAAATAAATCAATTATTCTGTCACGTCTCCTAATCACATCACAACATATTACCCACGTGTACACATCTTTCATTAGCCAAGGAAAGGGGATTCATTACCCTAACTCATGGGGGTACGTGCCATACGACAAGACACGACCTTTCATTAGGTCTTACGGAGACTTACCTCGCAAGGTAACCGTATTACATCGACGGGGAAACCATACCGACGGTAGAAATCGGCTCACGCCGATAGGCTACATGGTTCACATACATACTTAAATCATACCAACTCAACATCAAACCAACCACATACGGCATAGCAAATTTTAGATTAAAACCCACCTGGTACCGCAAAGGAAAGTGGCGCACAATCAGGAGTAGGCAGCGAGCACGTCTCGTCAGACACCTACAACAATTATATACTAAGATCAACCCCTATTTTTTTTTTTTTTTTTTTAAATATAAACATCCCAGAAAGGGATGGGGGGTTGAGGCTACACCCCCGACCTGTGAATATAATGACCCAAGTAGGGCTAAAAGATCAGTAGTCTACATCCATGTCGAAAGTACATAGAGCAACATCAAAAGCAGGGAAAAAAACGA